ATTTCAGCCAGAGAGGCAGGTTTGAAGATTTCCTCAAAATACCCTGCTCTGAAGGATGCCTGTGATGAAGCATCAACGTTGATACGTGCCACCAAAAGAACTAGAGTATTGCTCCAAAACTTTCAAGTTTCTAGTCGCTGAGCCATTAAACTGGGCTTCCCAAGTGTAAAGGGGCAACTGTGGTCTCAGCCAACACAAACTGATCCATGAAACCAGCGGCTAATTGCAAAAGGGGCTTTTGAAAATAACTCCAGGTTGTATAAAAGCTCGTCAGCATCTCTTCCACCACATCTCCAGACTTCCTCAAACTATAGTTTGAAGCATTGGTGACGTGTACGTGGTGCACGAGGGCACTTGCCACCCCCCTCCGCCAATGCTGCCGCGACTGCCTGCGGGCGATCGCCATGCTCCCCCAGCCTCCAGGGGCATGCGGCGTTCATGGCTTGAAGCATCGGCCATAGGTTATGAGACTGTTTTTGCTTGTTTGGAAAGAATTGTATTGCACCAAAGGTTGAGTTTGACCCATAAAAGACAGGTAAACCCCATTTTCCTGTCATGGGAAAGTGATTTGTCTTCAAAACTAGGTCTGGATGTTTTTGTAGAAGAATTCAGATGTCGTTATCCAAGAAAATTTCACCTCTGATTTCATAAATAGTTCTTATAATCCACAGCATGTTCATGCTAAGATCTGTATTTTTATGTTTCTAGCTCTTTGAATGCTTGAATATTGGTTACGCTGCACAATCACATAAATATGTATTTTATCTTTTTTCAATTCCAAAACTAAAGTGGAACAAGGCTTCTGACCAAGACTGCCTTTTTCCCGAATGACATACACTTCTGTTGGCAACCACAGCTCTCCCTCTTTTCGGGCAGTCTGCTGCCCCATGTCGATACTTTAGCTATGGGATAGTGACTCTCCTGGATCCTAAATACCCAAGGATCACATTAGTGCTGTTGACTACAGCATCACATGGGGAGCTTATGTTCATTTCCTTGTCGTTTATGAGCATTAGCCTAATTTAATGCACATTAAGAGTGCGTGTCTATGTGATTAATTAAAGAGCATTAACACACATGTAAACGTGATCCAGCACTAATTTTAGTACCAGGTCTGTCCAGCCATTAGGGGCACATGGCCAAGCTGCAAGGACTTGGCACTAACTTTAGTGCCAAGTCCCTGCACGTGTAGACACCTGCCAAAAATCACTTAATGTGCATTAGCTTAATGTGCATTAAATTTAGTCACATTTAAATGTTTGTGTGGACGCACCCACTGACTCTTAGATCCTTTCCACATTCACTGCCTTCCATGACACAGCCTCCTCACCCCATCCCCATGCATGTACTAATGGTCTGCCGTCTTTGTGCCTAAATATAATGTTTCATTTGGCTTGATTAAAACCTATTTTCTTTGAATGAGCCCAGATCACTAAGGAAGGTCACTCTGTGCAACTGGCCTGCCCTGTCCTCATAATTTGCATTCTGCCCGTTTTTTCATTATCCTAAAATTTTATCACTGATTTTATATTTGCTTCCAGACAACCAATTAATAAGGCATTCAAGCCAGTCCCAGTCCCTGCAGTACTTCACTACAAACTACACTGCTCGCTGATTCCTTATTGACAACAATTCCTTGAGATCTGTCACTCGGCTATTTCTTAATCCATTTTTGTGTAGGCTTTACTGATATTGAACATAACTGTTTTTTAAATCAGCATGCCATGCGGTACTGTCAGCTATGAAATCTATGAAACTGCTTTTCACATCTAATCATCAAGCTGGGTAGAAATTGATGATAAAAAAATAGATGTTTTTTTCATTTAAATGGGATTTTTAATTTAAATGAAATATATTTTTCCATTTAAAAACAAACCTATTAAATCAAATGTGACAACTTCTATACAACATCTAGACTATTCTTAGGAAAATAATTTAACTTAAAAAATATTAGAATAGAACATGCCTATTGCTGAAGTTTTAAGGTGAGTCAGTCTGCTACACTGGGGAAAATCTTTAGTTTCATATGTGGAGCCTGTGTTGAAGTGGAGGGCAGTACAGCGGTGCAGGGACGGCAACACAGCATAGATTCAGAGAGGCTCGGGTTGGAAGAGACCTCAATAAATCATTGAGTCCGACCCCCTGCCCAGGGCAGGAAAGAGCGCTGGGGTCAGACGACCCCAGCCAGATGCCCATCCAGCCTTCTCTTGAAGACCCCCAGGGTAGGGGAGAGCACCACCTCCCTTGGAGCCCAGTCCAAATTTTGGCCACCCTTACTGTGAAGACGTTTTTTCCTGATATCCAGCCTAAATCTGCTCTCTGTCAGTTTGTGACCATTGTTCCTTGTTACCCCTGGTGAACACAGCGTCTCCGATCCCTTGCTGCATCCCCCTAATGAATTTGTAGGCAGCCACCAGATCCCCTCTCTGCCTTCTCTTGCGGAGGCTGAAGGGATCCAGGTCCCTCAGTCTCTCCTCGTAGGGCTTGTCCTGTAAGCCTCTGACCATGCAAGTGGCCTCATCTGGACCCTCTCACGTCTATCAACATCCTCCTTGAAGTGCGGTGCCCAAAACTGGATGCATACTCCACCTGCGGTCTGACCAATGCTGCATAGAGGGGGAGGATCATCTCCTTGGATCTATTTGTCGTGCATCTGCCGATGCATGATAAAGTGCGGTTAGCTTTGCTGATGATTTCATCACACTGATGACTCATGTTCATCCTGGAATCCACGATGACTCCGAGATCCCTTTCCGCTGCTGTGCTGCTAAGAGGGTCATTTCCCAGCCAGGAGATGTGCTGGATATTTTTGCACTCTAGGTGCAGCACTCTGCACTTGTCCTTGTTGTGCTGCATCCTGTTGTGTCCTGCTCACTTCTCTAGCCTGTCCAGGTCTGCCTGCAATGTTCCCTACCCTCCGGAGTGTGCGCTTCACCCCACAATTTAGTATCGTCCGCAAACTTGGACAGAGTACACGTCACACCCACATCCAAGTCGCTGATGAAGACATTGAAGAGTACAGGTCCAAGGAGCGAGCCCTGCGGGACCCCACTGCCCGCATCCTTCCAGGTCGATACCGACCCGTCTGCTACCACTCTCTGGGTGTGACTGCTAAGAGAATTTGCCACCCACCAGACCGTGTAAACATCTATATCACAGCTTCTTAATTTATTTATGAGAATGGGATGAAATACCGTATCGAAGGCCTTGCTAAAGTCCAAGAAAACGACATGCAGCTCTACTCCTGCATCTAAGTGTTTTGTGACCCTGTCATAAAACGAAACCAGATTGGTCAGGCATGATCTACCTGCTACAAATCCATGCTGGTTTCCCAGCTGCATTATTTTTTCCCGCTGTACTCCCACAAATATGATCCTTCACAATCTTTTCAAAGACCTTTCCAAGGATGGAGGTGAGACTGACTGGCCTGTAATTACTCGGATCCTCCTTCCTCCCCATCTTGAAAATAGGGTCACATTGGCCCTTTTCCAGTCCTCCAGGACCTGACCCGAGCACCACGAGCGCTCAAACAGCAGTGCCCGTGGTTCTGCTGTGACACCGGCTAATTCCTTCAGTGCCCTCGGATGCAGCTCATCCGGGCCTGCCAACCTGAACACGTCCAGTCCATCCAAGTGGATAACTGTTCCTCGTGGACTCCCTTTCTAAGGGGGCATGGCCTCTTAGTGCCTGACTGTCCAATCTCCTGAGTTTGTGAAAGTTAGCCTTCCCAAAGTTGAGGATTTCTGTTTTGCAGAGGGATTTGCCTGCCTTGCGTTGGACAGAGAAAGTGATCAGTTCATGGTCACGGTCACCAAGCTTCCCCTTGATCCTCAGATCACTCACCAGATCATCCCCTTTGGCCAGAACCAGATCCAGCAGTGCCTCTCCCCTAGCTGGCCCATAGACCTCTTGTGTTAGATACAGTCATCAATGCAAGCAAGAAAGCTATGCAACCGGATGGGTTTGGCCATGTGTTCTTCCCACAAGATGTCAGGGAAGTTGAAGTCCCCCACGACGATCATGCATCGGGACCATGCAGCCTCAGACAGTTTCCTATTGAATTTGCAGTCCAGTTAGTCTTCTTGGTGGGGAGGTCTATAATAGACTCCTATGAGTATATCTCCTTCCCCATGTTCTCCCCATATTTTAACCCAGAGGGTCTCAAGACGCCCTTCGTGGTTAGTGAACTCAGTTTGAAGGGAAGTGTACTGCTCCTTGACGTAGCGAGCTACACCTCCACCCCTCTTCCTAACATGGCCCCTCCTGTACAAGGTATAGCCTTCTGTACCAACAGACCAGTCGTAGGTGGAGTCCCACCAGGTCTCCGTTATCCCTACATCACACAAGAGAAGGGCCAGGGCCTCTTGCTTTTTTCCCAAGCTCCTGGAGTTTGCGTACAGGTAATTGAGTCTACTGTGGGAAACCCTAAGTTTCCTTATGTGATGAGATGTGACCTTTCCCTGGGCTGTCGTCGGAGTGGGTTCCCTTGGGCTACCTAAGCTGTTACTACTGTGGTTGACATGACCTGGGCTAGAACTGTTAATTGACCGCCCATCCCCAGCGATCTTAGTTTAAAGCCCTGTCGAGGAGGTCAGCTATCCTGGCCAAGAAGAGCTTCTTCCCTTTCTGGGTGAGGTGGAGGCCATCCCTTCCCAACAACCCACAACCTTGCTCACTGAAGTGCAGACTGTGGTCGAAGACGAACCCCGAGCAATGGCACCATCGCCGGAGTCTTCTGTTCACCTGTTCACCTATCCACTTCTAAGTACTTGGAGGATAAAGTGGTGATTAGGAACAGTCAGCAGGGATTCACCAGGGGCAAGTCATGCCTGACCAACCTGGTTGCTTTCTATGACGAGGAAACTGGCTCGGTGGATGCGGGGAGACAAGTGGATGTGGCGCACCTTGATTTTTGCAAGGCTTTTGATATGGTCTCCCAAAGCATTCTTGCAGGCAAGCTAAG